ATTACCTAGTGAAACTACCAAACACCTGCCATGAGTATAACCCTTCACCATCAGGAGGCGCTATAATCACTCTCGTAGGAGAACTTTGCTTTCACAATCCAAAATAAATACAGTAATCCAACATCAGTGACCGAAAGCTTCGCCCCTTCCGCTACCGAGCAAAGCAGCAGCTGTTGAGTGTGTGAAGTGTCCAACAGTCCACAACTCATTTAATGGTTAAACAAGTCATCATCCAGGTATTTAAAGTGCACTTATTCTTCTTAAGAGTTTTAGTATGAATGCACTACATACACCATTTAAATTACAAAATGGCATAGAATAGTGCATTAGTTTGTGATTTGGGATGCACCTACTGTTTGTAAAGCTCTTCAAATTTTACAAATCATTAATTGTAACTTTAGTGTGGGCCAAGAAAAAAAAAGTTAGTTAGGTTCCTCGGGGTCCTCCTGACCCCAAACATTTACAGACCAATTACATAGGGAAATATAAAATTTTATATGACCAACTATATATACATTTTCTAGTATTTATTTTTAATCCAGTATTGCATTTTAATTAACCATTTATTTTTGAATATTTTTCATAACTAAGGCAGTTTTGTAGATGTTTATGCCAATTTCTATAAAATGGTTCTCTGTTGCAGTCACACATGCGTGTTTATGCATGCATACATAAGAGATAAAAATTGTTTATGTCCCAATTTTTTATTTGTGCTTTAGACCCCGGCCTTTGCAGAGATGTAAAATTTTCCAGATTGATAGTATTTAAAATGTATTTTAGACAAATATCCTTTTTTTCTCTTCACTTTACCCATTTATTTTCAATGTGGAGTCAATCTGATCCCAAGAATCCTAAACAGCGATTTTTTTACACACCTTTAAAACAAAAGAATCAAGTCCAGTTACTTTGTGTGTTTTAAGATTAGTTTTAAGATTACTTTTTAGAAAAAGTTTCATCCCCTTTAGATGTAGGGAACACACGATTCAGCGCAACAAATAAACCTGCTGATTTTTTCACCCATTCATCAGAATATTATCTTTTGTGTTCAAGAGAAGAAAAAAACCACTTGACTGTGAATAAAAACAGTAAGAAAATGTTTATTTTGGGTGAGCTATCCCTTTAACTTTCCTCTGAAATGTTTTTTTTACCTGATCTTGTTTCTGTTTTCATGAATATGTGCATTTTCAAACAACACATTTAATGATTTAATGAAAGCAGTATTTAATAGTCCCTTGTATGTCTGGTAAATCATGGTAAACACACCAAGCAAACCAAACATTTAAAAAAAAAAATCAATCAATAAAACAGTACATTACACAAACACTAAATAATTAATAGTATTACATGAGTTATTGACTTCAAACTATTTACATATACTCTGTATACTACACTTTGATGGATGTTTTAAATGCATTTCTAGAGCATAATACACAATATTCCATTGTTCCCAAATGATTTTACTGGGTAATTCAACATATAATAATTTAAAAGCATTTGCAATTTCAGTCATGATACTTGTTTAATTAAACTGCAATTTGTTAAAGGGATAGTTCACCCAAAAAATGCATCCGTTTAATTGTCATTACTTACTCACCCTTTACTTGTTCTAAACTTTGAGTTCCTATCATATGGTGAGCACAAAAGAAGGTATTTTTGAGAAAGCTAGAAACCTAAAAGCATTGATTTCATAGTAGAAAAAACTAATATGGTAGTCCCAGGTTACAGGTTTGCAACATTCTCCAAACTATATTCTTTTGTGTTCGACAGAACAAACTCAAAGGTTTGGAACCACATGAGGGAAAGTAAATAGGGAGTAAATGTTCATTTTTTTGGTGAACAATCTCTTTAAATGGTCTTTTTGCAGTGTACTATTCACTGTGATAAGTCAACATCTACATTGATTAAGTGTGAAATAAAAAAAGAAGAACTGAAACAACTTAAACCAAATGAAGTCATCGCAGTTTGACAGCTACCATTTCTGGTCACAAAGTTCTTTTTGAACAATGAGTAAATTCATTTTAGGTCACACTTCACAAGGTTTCATTAGTTAATTTATTTACTAACATTAACTATGTGTTAACTCTACTTGCACAGCATTTATGAATCATAGTTTAACATTTACTAATGCCTTATAAAATCCAAATCCATGCTTGTTAAGATTAGTTAATGCACTGTGACTGAACTGAATTATCAATAACTAACCTTAGCCAACAAGAACAAATACTGTAGTAAATGTACTGTTCACTGTTTGTTCATGTTAATAAATGCATTAACTAACATTAACCTATTGTAAAGAGTTACCTCATTTAATGCAAAAGTAACATATATAGCCTATTTAGTTCATTATTATTACCTATATAGTGACAAATTATCATGAAAGCAACTGTTAAATTTTTACAAATTATTTTATCCCAAACTTAAGCACTTTTCGAATCTTGAAAAATGCAAGCCTTTTCAAGGATTTCCAGCACCTGTAAGAACCCTGATTGAATGTGGTTCTGCATTGCACAGCTTAATCCTTTCCTAAAACTAGATTTCCATAATACTGCCTGTGATTTATTTCGTATAGAAACTGGAAAGTGACTGAGGGTTGTTCCACCAGTACCTGCTGCTACTGCTGCCAGTGGAGTTGCTGCGGCGCTTGCGGATCTTATCTCTGCCTCTCTCCTTCTCGGCTCCCTCCTTCGCAGGAGCTTTCTCCTTCCCTCGTTCCCTGGGCTTGTCCTCTGATCGCTCCCTGCGCTTGGTTGGTGATGGGGCCCTGTGCCAATAGAACAAGCAATGGAGGTTTAGTTTGGAAAAAAACAACAAACATTGTTAAAACAGTCTTGATCTTAGGCCTGCTTGATAAATCGATTTTAAACCGAAGCATTGTCAGTCCATAGTGATTGTCATGAAATATGAAAAATGTAAAGAAATCTAAACGTAAAGGTTTTATATAGCTATATATAAGATTCTAAACAATTTTATTAAATTGAATTTAAAATGGTGTAGTTGTTTTCTTAATTTGTTACGAGAACTGACAACTTTATTGGAAAAAAATGTTTTAAATAAACAGAAGCATAGTATAGCGTACTTTGATTATGCTTGGTCTTTTTTTTGGTGCTGTTAAATTCCCACATCAAACCTGCAGCTCTTTAAAGAAATTAAAGCAAATGGCATTTCAAAATACAAATCAGTTTTGATCAGATAAATCGCAATTCGATTTTAGATTTCTAAAGCAAATAACAGCATCAGCTGCTTTTCTGCATAAATCGCTGAAATTTATAGCTGGAGGGAAATAAGCCTGCTTATTAAAAACACAGTGCAGGGGACAAAATGCATTGTAGACCAACACATTTCAGGTAGAGTTCTTAATATTAGATGTTGTATCGGTTTTTAGAGTGTAACAGTTCATATATTCATACTGAACTAGCCTATAAGGCTGTAGTAAAAACCTCAATTTTACAATACCACACTTTTTGAAAGCCAGACGCAAAGAAACAAAAGCAAACCATGGCAACCACAGTGTTCACCTTTGTCCTACACTATTTGCATTTTACATTTCATTGTTATGCTCTGCTGTTTACAGTTAATGAGATCTGTCAGCACAATTGCAGTCTAATAAAGTACAAGCCATTTCAATTACAGTTATATTAAAATCACAAAATAAAAAATACATTGAAACCAATATTGTTTAAAAAGGTAAACTAAATAATTTTTATTAAAAAAAAACATGCTCCTTTCAGCTATAATTAACAGCTACTATGCTGCAGTGCAGTAGTTTCTTTTTACATGTTTGCATTTCTTCTTAATGTACCAACATTTTGAATTAACCATAATTTAATACATTTATATTTAATATTTTATTGGTTAATTAAATGGTGATCGGCAAGTATAGTCCAACCTTGCTATCAGAACCTGTAAAATAAAATTTGACCTCTACTTATACTCTCTAAAATTATGGAAATTTTGCAATCACAATAAGGTTTTTAGGGATATTAATTACAATATAATACCCACAGATCACTTCCTTATCACAATAATTGCTGACTCGGATTCAAACTATTTCTCACATTTTGGTCATTCAAATTGTACTCTCAGTTGTTTAATGTTGTGTATCAGTTGGTATCTAGCATCAAAACAGTAAAAATTTTATGCATTTTCATACAACACAGTAAATAAGCAACTAGGGTTTTATCCATTTGCCCATATAAGCAACATTTAAATTATACTTAAAAACCGAGTATGATGATCTATTATATATATTAGGTAATACATATTTCAATAAGTGGGGAGTCTACATGGATTATATAATTTGACACATTGAAGTTCAACTTTGTATTTAATATAATTTCATACATTTTTATACATATCAGTTTAATTTAATGTGTGATATGAACATTAGATATAGCTGAAAGTAACAGCTTAGATTAAAACAATTAACATAACTTAAAGCATTTTAATACAAATTGTTAGTGGAAAAGTGTGAATAACGTTAATTGTAAATAAACGTGGTGGCCAACAAATGCACTGCACTGAAATTCCCACTTTAAAGAGAAATTATAGATCATTTAGACATAAGCATAAGTTTACATGAGCAAGTTAAACCTTTAAAACTGCGATGACTTGATTTATGATTAAAAATATGCAATGTTTGTTGACTTTTAGTGTAACGCTAGCTTGTTGAGCTAATGCTAACACCGCCGAGATAAAACACGATAGTACAAAATGCCGACCCTTTTTACTAAAAACGCGACGTAAACATCTCTGCATAAACGCAGCTACAAATATGAAAACAAAACTGTCCGCACAACATAAACTTTAATCAGACAAACAGTCAAACTTACATGATGAATGAAGAGCGCGCGACACACTATCGCTGAGCTCGACAACCGTCGCGTCCTAATGACGTTTCCGTGAGGACGCAGGCGTGACGGCACTGATCCTGCGACGGTCCAACGGAGGCGGGGTGTGTTTTAATGCAATGGTCGTAAAGTAAAACAATAATGTACGCTTTTCAACAACACGTACTGTTGTTGTGTTGAAATCATCAGATCAGCGCGTTATGAATATAAAGACGAGCATTGTCATGTGACTTTATGATGGACCGTATCGTCGCTTTAAACGAAAACAGCAGAAGAGCAAAGTCGCAATAGGTGAGAGATGCTTAATTCTATTGTGCTCTTCTTAGTGCACTAGATCGATAGGGTGAATCTGAACTTGTTTCCCTATTAAAAACATTTCACTAGTAGAGTTTTTAAAATTACAACTGGTTTAACAAAAATAAAATCTGCCACCGGTGTGAAGTGGTTAGCTGCTCATGCTGGTGTGAATTGCTTATTAGACTGGCAGACTAGCTGGACACCAGTTTAAAACATCTGTTTTGGAGTAAAGCTTACTTAAGAGTATTTTTCTTTAAAAATAATTGGCAATATGTACTATCAAGAACGTCGTTTAGTTTATGAAAAGCGGACAAAGGAAATTGTATGAAACTTAGCTGGGACATTGTACCAGAAACATGCATCATCTGTCCCTGAAATAAAAAATACTGGAAATGAAAAGTATTTCATCCCACAAATGTCTGAAATAGACTGATGGATGATTTATGTGAGTTGTTTTGTAAAGGAATGTGTCATTCATTTGGTTCTCAGATTGTTTTTCTTTATTAAAAACACTTTACTAATGTACAAACCCTGCCATTGTCCTTGTCCTCAGCCCAATTGAACCTACAGCTTTAATAGTTTTGTAATGTTAAAACCGTTATTCAGGAAGAAAAAACTTCAGAAAAAGCAAGTTTAAGTTGTTATCATTCACATCAATTGATTAAAAACATGAAATTATAAATAAATTCTACTCTACAAATATATAATCAAAATAAACTTACAATTGGACCCTATGTTTCCGTCAGTCTTGTCACATTTGCATTAAATTTAAAACATAATGCGTGCAATACACATTTTAGGTTGATTTGGAGGGGACATTATTTGCTGGTGAAGAAGCTGACAATGATCAAGGATGCATTCTATCATTGAATTGTAGGATTTTATTGAGGACGTGAAGCTTAAGTCAGGCCCTTTCACATTTTTATAAGTGTAAATGTAAGTTTCTGCTAGAATGTCCCAACTAAATGTAAACGTAACAGCAATTTTTAGACTTTTTATTATTTATTTTACTAGTCTCTTATTATCAAAAATAGCAGGATATCGTTTAAAGGAAATTTTCAACATTATAATTCATTCATTTATTTTCTTTTCGGCTTGGTCCCTTTATTAATCTTGGGTCACCACAGCAGAATGAACCGCCAACTTATCCAGCACATTTTTTTTTTACGCAGCGGATGCCTTTCCAGCTGCAACCCATAACTGGGAAACATCCATACACACTCATACACTACGGATCATTTAGCTTATCCAATTCACCTGCACCACATGTCTTTAAACTTGTGGGGGAAACCGGAGCACCCGGAGGAAACCCACACGAACATAAGGAGAACATGCAAACTCCACACAGAAATGTCAACTGACCCAGCCGAGGCTCGAACCAGCCGAGGCTCGAACCAGAGGCTCGAACCACTTTTGACAGAACTTTTGTCTAAGCAAAGTCAGACCTTACTGTCCTAATAAAATAATTCAAAGTCAAGAGTCAAGACATGATGATCATATTTTATTGTGGTAAAATAAGCGTAATCTAGAGACCTTTGCCTTTCATATAAGCCACTTTTGATACCAAATGATCAACTGCTGTAGAAGTCAAGTTATTGTTTGTTTTTCCTAAAACATGGATAGGCGACAAGACTTTTGGCAGGCAGTGAACCAGGGGTGCTCAATCCTGTTCCTGGAGAGCCACCTTCCTGCAGATTTCAGTTGCTAACCCAAATCAAACACACCTGAACCAATTAATTAGGACCTGAACTCCACGTGACAATTACAGGCAGGTGTGTTTGATATGGGTAGCAACTGAAATCTGCAGGAAGGTAGATCTCCAGAAACAGGATTGAGCAGCACGCCTGCAGTGAACAATTTACGCTATGAATAACCCACTAACAAAGTCTATTAGCCCAATAAACTTGTCATTAGAGGATTATTAATGGTTAGTAAGGTAGTACCTGGGTTTAGCTATTGGGTGGGATTAAGGATGTAGAATAAGCTCATACTTTATGACAGTTAACATCTTAACAAAAGGCAGGTAATGAGTAGGCCCACACGGAATCTGTGCGCGCAAAATTCCGCAAATTTTCTGCAGATTTTCCACAGATTTTCCCCAAAATTCCGCAGATTTTCCACAGATTTTCCCCAGAATTCTGCAGATTTAAAGCGCATCATTAATTCTGTTTATTTACTTGAGTAAATGTGTAAATCTGAATTTGTTCAGTTTTTATTCAGTAATTTATTACTTTTATATATTAAGGTTTTAGTTATGATACTCCTCTGGATACTCCCAAAATAATTCCACAGAAATCCGCAGATTTTTACCAAAATTAGCAAAAAATAGCAAAAAATGTCCGCAGATTTCGTCTGGCCCTAGTAATGAGCCAGTAGTTAATAGTGTGACTTAAACTAAAGTGTTACCTACAGTAGTTCCAGGTTTTCAGCATTTGCATATATATTATTTTGTGTTCAACAGGATAAAGACACTTAAGAACAAGTAAAAGATGAGTAAATGATAACCGAGCTATCTTTAAATCAACATAGGTGGAAGATCTATTTCATCCTGAACATTTTTGCTTTATTTCAGGATCCGCCAGCCTGTTTTTTTCGCTCTCATTACTTGTTCTCCATCATGGGCCGACTAGACGACGCCGCCAAGCGCAAGGTAGTGGAGCTGCGGGAAGCTGGTTTAAGTTTCCGTAAAATCAAAGCCGTGCTGGAGCTGGAGAACATCAAGGTGTCGGCGCAGGCCATCTACCTGTTCCTGAAGGAGTTTCAAGGCAGAGCCCACAAGGAGGATGGAGCAGCTGGAAACAGCAGTCACATGGTGCCGGTTTCGATGCCGAGCGGCTCTGAGACGCGGACGGGCAGCTGGAGCGACCAGCAGCTCAGAAACCTCCTCAGAGAAGCTTCTAGAGTCGCTGCTTCTCAGCTGGCTGGATCCTCAGCCAATCCAAGAGCGGGACAGCCATCTGGGACGGGTCCAGCGGGTCCACAGGGTGCGGATAAAGACGAGGACATCAGGATTGTCAGTGTCACTTCTTTGGCACAAGGCACGCAGCATGCTGGCGTTCAAGGGCAGCGTTCGGGAGTGGGAACGGCAGCTATGAGTGCTGCCGCCGCTGCTGCTTTTATACGAAAACGCCACACGCCCTCTCCTGCCAACCCTATGCTGGTGGCACGCAAACGGCTCCTGGATAAAGCTTTACTCCATAGAGCGAGGGTGGGTGTATTGCACATCTACACTTTTTACTTTTATTATTAAACTTATACTGCAGTCAACATTTGAAGTGGATCAAAAAGGTTTTTTAAAATTGGGGTACATGCACAGCCTCTTTAAATTTTCAGCCAGCCAGTCCAAGTGCTTCCGGTGAACTCAGCCACGACATTACAAAACTCTCAATGTTTAAGATTTAATTAAAAATGAATGATCGTCACTTCCTGATTGATATACGATATGAAGTGGGTCTCAGAGCGGATGTAAAGCACTGCATTAATTTCCATTTTTACACAATATGTCTATGTATTTTTAGTGGAGTTTCTGCACTCGCTTGCTGCTACTGATGGTGCCTGCGTTTACACGTCTTTCATCTCATTTTATGCTTGAACAACTAAATGAATGCTTAAGTCTATTTAACTTATTATATATTAACTACACTACAACATTGATGATGTAAAAGGAACCTTATGAAATTGAAAATAGTCACATACACACTTACATTTCACCAGAAGTTTATCGCTGGCTGAAAAACAATGAGTGTTTGTTCAATTGAAGATAAAAAGGTTCTGTCTAATACTTCATGTTTTTGTTCTTAATTACTTTTTTTCCAGCTTTCCGGCTGAGCCTAGAAGAGACTTAAGCATTACAAACCCCATGCTAACTATCCCCAAACATTGAATGATATATTACAAACTGACTTTTTTTATCACCGTTAAGCACATTTCTCTTCTGATTGTAAAAACAAGTTCATAACTAATTATTAGTGCTGGGCAAACTCTAATCGTGATTAATCGCATCCAAAATTAAATTTTGTTTTGAAATAATATGAGTTTGTGTATTTTATATATATATATATATATATATATATATATATATATACACACACACACACACACACACACACACACAATACACACTTATATATTATGTCAAATTAAACTTTTATTGTATTTTATTTATGCCCAGCACTAGTAATTATTTAAATTGTTGTTGTTTTTTATTCTGCCTAAAAATGTTTAACTGATCATTGTCAAATCATAAAATGAACATTTAATACTATAATAATACATTTTATAATCTAAAAAAAAAAGAAAAAGTAACGTGCATATTATAGGAACATGTGCTTCAATTTCACTCAAATGAATAAATCAATTCTTTATTATTTTTTTGTGAACATCCCACAGTAATACACCAAAATAAACGGGCTTGTGTGTTTTTTGAAGGTAAGAGACAGCAGCCCTCAGGGCGGCCAGCAGGTGTCGGTGTCGGTGAGACGAGATCAGTCCTGTTTCTCTACCTCTGATGGGAGAAAGCTAGTGTTACCGCAGTCAGCTTCATACGACCTCACTACACCCAGACCTCCAAACATGGTGAGTGCTAAAGCATCATCAATATAATAAATACATGAATGTATAATAAATAAATTTTTTATAATTTCTATCCAATAATTATTTGTGGATAAAATCAGAATGAAATGCAATCTACTGCAGTTTTGCTTTAAATTTGGTAAGGTTCATCTGCGCAGATGCAGACATGTTACACGGTTGTGCTTCAGACATCCTTAAATAAAATCTAAAAACAAAATAAATAAATAATTATTTCTCATGTTGACATTACACATTGTACTTAATTGTGTTTATTCTTGTTTTTTTTTTATATTTCTAATTGATTAAATTTACAGTTTGGGAGAATAACCCAAGTAAATGCTGGTTTATACTTTTGCATCAAGTGATCGCTGTGACTAGGGCTGCACGATTTATCGTATTATTATCATGATAACGATACTTGTGGCCCACGATCAATAATTAAATATCGACCAAGCCGTTAATTTAATGGGCAGAGTTTATGGATTGTACCGCATCACAAGCACGCGGTGACTGCGACTAGATTGCAAGTGTGTTTTTTTTGCAATGTTGATCAGGTAGCCAAGGTAACACAACAAACCTCATTAACCACCTTCAAAGCCATCACAAAGTGGCTGTCATCAGTGGGTTATTGAGCTCAGAAAAATTCTGCTTTGCATTTTTCCATGCATTACTAACATCACTAAACCAGACAACATTTGTTTTATCAGTTAATCACATATTCGCGGAGATTCAGCTGTTTTTTTCAGACGCGTTCGCTAGTCATGTAGACAGAAGATACTGTATCCAATTGTGGCCCTGTTCACAGTGGTATTCAGGTTTGTTTTCATCAGTCTGGTGCAACTTCTATCATTTACTAGAAAAGTAGATGCAATTAAAAGTTTCAGATCAATTAAACTCACTTTATTAAAAGACTAGCCTATTTAATGCATTAAATAATGAAATGGATAACTGATTTCCTTTGTTTCCGATTAGACCATGCACTTTATTCTGTTTTACAGTTTTAATATGCATATGTATTTTTTAACATAACATTGGTTTAACAAATGTTTTAGCAGATTGAAAGTAATACAATTTTTAATTTTGATTAAAAACTTTATGCAAAGGATCTGGAATTGATTGATCGCTCAAAAAAAAAAAATTATCTAACACATGCATCGCTCTCATGCCACATTTTCGAGGATAAATTTGCATGGGCGGACATTAGGGATGTAACGGTATCAGAATTTCACAGTACGATAATACCTCGGTATGAATGGCACGGTACGATATTTATTGAATAATTTACAGGAAAAACAAAACTAATGAAAAGACTAAAAAAAAGTGCCAAAAGTGTTTATTTACCTTAGCACTGAACATATCAATAACATACAAATTACCATTAGAAAGAAACCGAAATGCTTCCACACATCCGATTTAAAACCCGCTTTAGGTTCGATCGTTTCCAGCTCTTTTTCTTCCCCGCTACTAGCAACACACTCCATTTCCGCATTACTGGATCTGTAGTGACAACAGACCGCAATGGATGATGGCCACGCCTAGGCTGATGGGAATTGTAGTTCCCGCTACCTCCCGTTCGCTTCATTCGCTTAAGCAAACTTTTCTCAGAAATATAGTTTTATTGAGTCATGCGCCTACGGTAATATTGAAAAAAATTACTATTGCGGTATGACGGTATTTACAATATTGTTACATCCCTAGCGGACATGCAACAACATTAATCATAAGGTAGACACAGGGCTTAATTTGTGCTGGAAGATGCCGGATCACCATCATGACTGAAAAGAGAGTTTGTTGTAAAGTGAGGATAAATCCATATACAAAACAACAATATGCATGATCAAACCTGTATTTTGCAGAGAGCACTACATCAAGGAGCCAGTCCACACAGGAGGTGGATGCACCAACGGGTGGGTGTTCCTGTCCGTGTTCCTCAAAATCCTCCTCGTGTTGGCATCCGCCTTCCTGAGCCATCCACGTCTGCGGCGGCATCCCAAAACACAGCCGCCCCTGCTCGTGTCCAGAACGTGAGCAACCAGCCCTCACCTCCTCCTCCTGCTCCTCCTGCCCAGAGGAACGTCCTGGAGCCTGGAGCCGTGAGCAGCCTGCAGGAGCAGATCCAGCTGCTGGGCAATGAGCTGAGAAGTTTGGGACTGGCGCTGAGGATGATGGTGGACCATCAAGGCCGACTGGAGAGAGAACAAGCGCAGCAAACTCAAGTCCAGAAGCAGATCCTCAGCACCCTTCAGGATCTTGCTTCCAAATTCGACCCTCTGCAGCCCACATCTGCTCCAGCATCCTGTTCGATGGCCTCGTCTGCGGTCTTCAGCCAGGCTCCGACCAATCAGAGTGTGTACGCTCAGTGCAGTCAAGCCCAAACGCGCTACAACGAGATCCACGATTCCGGACTGGAGGGCATCGAGGTGTTTTCTCTGGACCAGCTCAGCCCGACTGCAATGAACGGGTTTCAGTCGTGCCCGACCTCCAGCGGGCCCCCGTTCACCCATGCACAGGGGCGCACGGCAACGTTCACGCAGACGCAAACATTTGCGTCCAGTGCGCTGCCGTTTGCGCAACCGCACACAGACTCCTTCATTGGAATGGATGGAAAAACCGTAGACCTGGCCTCCACCAGTGCGGATGGCTCATTTCAGACCTGTAGTCCGGGGAACCAGACCTCGAGTCTTCCAGTTTCACCGCGCGATTCTGAGCTGAACATTATCAAAGTGGAAAATGTGTGAAGTGTGTGACTGAAGTCTAGAGATGTGGTCACAAAAAAAACAATCGAGAAATTGATTCAAAGATTTTCAAAATCACTATTGTCTCTTGAATTGATTTTGAGCTTACTTTTAAACAGCAGAAGGCGCTCTAGGATTTTTTTATATATAGTAGAGTATTGAAAGGAAAGCATGGGAAGCAAAGAGAGGGGAAGAATCAGCATAGGACCGCAAGGCGGGAATCGAACTCGGGTCGCCATGAGCACCGGAGTACATGTGTTGACACACTAACCACTGCACCACTGGCGCCAACTAGGATAGACTTTAACAGCAGATGGTGTTCTCTGTTGACAACAGTTGACTCCTCTCACCGTTAGTTTGCCATGAGAAAAAGATAGGCAACAAGAAAGCCCTCTAGCCCCTAACTCAAAATACTGAAATTCAAGTCTCAGTAACTTCGGATTCAGTAACTTCACCTGGACTTAAACAGCAGTTGGTGCTCTAGCGTAGTTTAAATAGGCGCTCTAGGCTAGTTTTTAACTGCTGATGCCTCTCTAGGCTAGTTTTTAACTGCAGACAGTGCTCTAGGCTAGATTTTAAAAGCAAATGGTGCCCTCTAGAGTAGTTTTTTTAACAGCAGATGGCGCTCTAGGCTAGTTTTTTACTGCTGATGCCTCTGTAGGCTAGTTTTTAACAGCAGGCAGCGCTCTATGTTAGTTTTTAACAGCAGATAACGCTCTAGTCTAGTTTTTGACAGCAGATGGTGGTCTAGGCTAGATTTTAAAAGCAGGTTGAGCTCTAGGCTAGTTTTTAACAGCAGATGCCATTCTAGGCTAGTTTGTACCAGCAGAAATTGCTCTGGACTAGTTTTTAACAGCAGATAACGCTCTAGTGTAGTTTTTGACAGTAGATGGCGCAGCAGATAACAGCAGATAACGCTCTAGTCTAGTTTTTGACAGTAGATGGCGCAGCAGATAACAGCAGATAACGCTCTAGTCTAGTTTTTGACAGTAGATGGCGCAGCAGATAACAGCAGATAACGCTCTAGTCTAGTTTTTGACAGCAGATGGCGCAGCAGATAACGCTCTAGTCTAGTTTTTGACAGTAGATGGCGCAGCAGATAACGCTCTAGTATAGTTTTTGACAGTAGATGGCGCAGCAGATAACAGCAGATAACGCTCTAGTCTAGTTTTTGACAGTAGATGGCGCAGCAGATAACAGCAGATAACGCTCTAGTCTAGTTTTTGACAGCAGATGGCGCAGCAGATAACGCTCTAGTCTAGTTTTTGACAGTAGATGGCACAGCAGATAACAGCAGATAACGCTCTAGTATAGTTTTTGACTGTAGATGGCGCAGCAGATAACAGCAGATAACGCTCTAGTATAGTTTTTGACAGTAGATGGCGCAGCAGATAACCGCAGATAACGCTCTAGTCTAGTTTTTGACAGTAGATGGCGCAGCAGATAACGCTCTAGTATAGTTTTTGACAGCAGATGGCGCAGCAGATAACGCTCTAGTATAGTTTTTGACAGCAGATGGCGCAGCAGATCGCAGCACATAACACTCTAGTCTAGTTTTTGACAGCAGATGGTGCAGTAGATAACACTCTAGTCTAGTTTTTGCAGATGGCTGACTAGCCTAGAGCCCCACCTGCTGTTAAAAACTAGCTTACAGAGGTATCAGCTGTTAAAAACTAGCCTAGAGCACCTATTAAAACTAGGCTAGAGCACCATCTACTGTTAAAGTCCAGATGAAGTTACTGAATCAGAAGTTACTGAGACTTTAATTTCAGTATGTTGAGTAAGGCACGGGGGGCTTTCTTGTAGCACATCATTTTCTCATAGCAATCTAATGGTAAGAGGAGTGTGGCTAAGAATATTGTGGCTGATGCATCAAACTGATGTCAACAGAGAAGGACCACCACTTCAAATGCAGAAGCACATGGTAAGACTTGATTGAAGGTTACCAAAACTATTTTTGTTTTCAGTGGATTAACGAAATAATTAACTGGTCGCCTAAAGAATAGCAATGTGCACTACTAATCACTGTCTTTAAAGACTAGCTAATCACTGACTAGCTAATCACTGTCTTTAAAGACTAGCCTAGAGCGCCATCTGCTGTTAAAAACTAGCCTAAAGCATTTTGAACATTTCTGAATGGATTTCTTAAATGTTTCTTTCTTTTTGCCACAGCTCTTCTGAAATCTGAATTTCAGTAGCCAAATCCTTTGGCCTACAGTGTATTTTGTTGTATAGAACTCCTGTAGCTTCCTAGAGAAACTTATATGAAGTAAAAAAAAGTTTCCTTTTGTTTTTCATTTTATTTAATTGTAAACTGTAATTTTGCCTTTTTTATAGGAAATAAATATCATAGTAGACATAGTTTTTGCTGTTATCTTTGTATTTTTTTATATTCTGTTTATTTAATTCTGAAACATGAATAAAGCAATAGTTTGATGGATTTTAGTCTTCAGTGATGCCATGGTTTATTTGTATTTATTTATTTATTTTTTATTTTTTTAAATAACTTTTGTTTTAAAAATTAGATAAGTGGTATACACAAATATAAAAAATGCTTAGAAAGAAGCATTAGCTACTGGAAGACGTTGAAATAAAAATTAAACTTTTGTTTAAAGATAATATGTCATACCTTCAAGCTCTACCGTTTTTCCCAGGATTCTCCCGTATTTTACAGTTCTATGCCGCTATCATCCCGTACAAAAGGTATTTTCCCATATTCAGTCTTTCTCTGAAGGGTGGAAATAAACATTAAAGAGCCGATCGTCCCTATACGCAACCCATACCGCCAGACCACCAGGGGCCGCCCCTTGCTCTTAAATGTGTGTCTGTTCTGTGCTTTCGGTTTATTTAGGCATGAAAACACTTTGAAATAAATAAAAAACGTTGGGATTCCCTTTCCTTTACATTCCAGGCGTAATCGCCTCTCCTTTGCAATCCTTGAACAGTCATATAGCAGTGCGTGACTGTCAGCTGACGCGCTCCATAGTGATAAATAGACACTGTTTCCCAAACAGATGCTGTACACGCGATTTGAAGCCAAAGTCTGGGTTTTGGGTGTGTTTTAACAGACAAATGCACATTTTTAATAATAATAACATCTAAATAACATCGATATTGATGTTTTTTTTTTTCAAACACAACAAATTTTGGCCTAAATGAGCATGAAAAGAAAGCAATCGAATGCTTTCATTATAACATTACATGTGCATTTTTAAAGTGACACCTCAGTTATTCAATGTAATCAAATGAAATATAATAAATGAGATGTGCAAGTTACAGTGAAGAAAGATTCATGAGATTTGATAACTTGATTCTTTTTTTTTTATAATGGCTATTAAATTTAATAAGCTGAACTGTTTGCTAATTTATTTGCTGCTAATATATACTATTTATTTATTTTGTAAATAATAACAATAAAACATAATACTGACCTTTTAACTGTTTATTTACAATGAAACAGGGGGTGGGGTATCCCTTATTATGGTGGGCATATCTCTTATTTTCACACCCCAATGTTGACAGGTATGAACTATGTGCAGTGGTAGATGCCAAAAAAATTCAAATAAAATGAATAATTGCTGAGAAATACTATTTTACTACTAATACCACTACTGTACGATATATTTTACTATATTCATTTGAATAGCATCACATTTAGAGGTTCACAAAACAATGTGATTATGTTATAAACAGCACTATTATTATTTAAACCGGCTAGCCAACTTTATGCCTAAAAAAACATGACACCTCTAGAATCACTTAAATGACTTTTCTTCCCAATTCTGATGCTTGATCTACACTTAAGCAAGATTATCTTGAACACATTCACAAGAATAAATCTCAAAATTTAGCACTCATAAAGCGTCCGGTGAAAGTGCGTATCATGGGCGGCTTAATATATCTGTCCAGCAGAGGGCAAAACTGTCTCATGAAAGAGTGCTGTAAAACCTAAAGAGATTTTTCAAAAGGAAATAAAGAATTCTAAAGGGAAAAAAATAACAATTTTAGCATAAATACAGTTCTTTAGAACAACATGGTTCTAAATAGAACTATAACTGTGTACAAAGAACATTTTAAGAATCATTTTGTTCAGTTACAGCAAGTCCGAAGAATAATGTAACGGTGTTACCAAATGAAAAAGTATATAGTAATTTATAGTAAATACTCTATTGTTTGTGAATCATACTATTATAGAGTACTTTAATTAATCCATTGCGATTCTATAGTTGCTACAGAAACACAACAACTATAGAAGGGGAGAGTGGGGCAGTTGGAACATAGGGCAGTTCCCTCCATTCCGGAATGAGCTAGAGTGATGATATTACTACATATTCTTAGTTAGACCCTCCTTCAATCTGAGAGAAATCAGCCAAAATCAGTAATATGTCACCATTGCTTCAGTATAAAACAATTTTTTTTTTTTTAAAGTTCAGAAAATTTCTCATACTGTCTAATCTGTTTTTGTTAAACATTATTCATTCATAAAATTAAATCACTGTTTCTTAGCTTTAAATAGGTATAGCTATCAAGTGGTTTAAGCTGTATCTCTCTAGACAGTTTAATCAGAGTTGACAGAGTTGGGTCAGTTGCAACTCGCCATATAAACAATGTACAATTTAAATTTGATCACAGTTTCAATGTAAATTAATTTAAATAAATAAATTCTTTGATTAATTAATTCATTTCAAAGTTCAAGGTTGAGTCTAGATTGTCAGTAAAAAATATTTTTGTTTAGTTTTTTTAGGCCTGGTAATTGGTTGTTACTCGTTCTTCAAAAGGTTTGTAATTATATGGCCAATTTACCAGTTTGACAAATTTACATTTAGACTGTTTACCAAAAACATAAAAATAAAATCCATCCTGATGTTTTAGAATTTTGTTTATTATTACATTTGAAAGAATCTTGCAACCATCCCATGCTCAGGTTCATTTGCAACATTTGACTCTTTCTGTGCAAGTTAAAATTTTGCATATATTATCATTCATTCATTTTCTTTTTGGCTTAGTCTCTTTAGTCCTCAAGTCCAGGGCTCTCTTCTGGGACAGCATGCCAAAAAAGCATTTGATGGATGATCAGCTAAGTTTGAACTCTTAAAACTGTAGGAAATGCAAAAAGTGTTACAACTGTTCCCACTCTCCCCTAATATAAACAAATAACCCAATACTGTATGCCTGACAAAAGTCTTGTTGTCGATCTCAGTTGTGAGAGCAACAAATAATAACTTAGTTGATCATTTGGAAAAGAGGCAGAAGGAAGATTTTTCCTATGAATCATCTGCTGAACTGCATCCTAATCATCACCAATACTGCATAAGACCTATTGAAACCTGCATGGACCCAAGATTCTCACAGAAATCAGTCAAGTTTGGTGAAGGAAAAATCATGGTTTGGGGTTATATTCAGTATGGAGGCGTTCAAGAGATCTGCAGAGTGGATGACAACATCAACAGTCTGAGGTATCAAGACATTTGTACTGCCCATTACATTACAAACCACAGGAGAGGGCAAACTCTTCAGCAGGATGGCGCTCCTTCTCATACTTCAGCCTCCACATCAAAGCTCCTGAAAGCAAAGAAGATCAAGGTGCTCATAGATTGGCCAGCCAAGTCGTCAAGGATGAACATTATTGAGCATGTCTGGGGTAAGATGAAGGAGGAGGCATTGAAGAAGAATTGAAAGAATCTTGATGAACTCTGGGAGTCCTGCAGGAACTCTCTCTCTGCCATTTCAGGTGACTTTATTATTTTATTTTAATATTTTGCTTATTTTATTATATTAAATAAATGTATTAATGATTACATTTATTAATTATTTGTTGTTCCTAAATCTTGGATAGGCCACAAGACTTTTGTCAGGTAGTGTAGTTTACTACAACTATAGTGTTTAATATGCTGGAATACACCACAGTTTACTGCAGTAAAACTAAAGTGAACTGCAATTTTTATTACAGTTTATCAATTCAATATAGATAAGTATCCTGTATATAATGATGCATACAATATAATGCATTTAACAACATTATTGTTCAACAAAACTACAATAAAACTATGGTATTGTAATAATGTTCGTTTCGTGGGAAGAAGAAGGCAGGGTCCAATAATATCCAGCTGCAGACCCGCAGAACCACACACGTTTTAGGCACACACAATCTAGGACACACAATCTAGGCAAACCATATATTGTTATGACGGATATTAAAGTTATAACGTCTTTTTGGACATCGTCATCGATATATTTTGATATATTTGATTAATAAATATTGTACACAATAAACAATAGTGTTTACTTTACTTTATTTCACAAATATTGCGATTGAGACGGCCGAATGGGGAGCATTGTTTCCGATCGCCATTCAATATAATAGAGTGAACAGTTTTTAATCAGTCATTATAGCTGATCAATCTTTATTACCTGACAATAATTTGGCAGATACACGTTTGCTGGCCTTGCTGAATGATCTCATTTGGACAGGTTTAATTTATATAATGGATTAATTTATGATGAAGGAAATAATAGCAAGTTAAGATAGGCAATAATACATTATATGTAATAAAAATATTTTTACATGTAAGAAATGTATAACACTATATTAATATTTTACTCAAGCGGTGTTTATTAACTTAATTTTCTAATAACCTTTTAATTAATGATTTCCCACATTTAATACTCTTAATAAAATATTAACTATTAATAAAAAAAATCATAAGTGTATATACACACACGCACACACACATACATACACACACACACATATATATATATATATATATATATATATATATATATATATATATATATATATAACAGCTTTAACAGTGACAGTTTAGTAAAAGATAGTAGTTTATATATAAACGTATAATTATAATCAGTTAAGATAATCAGTTTATAACTATATTGTTTAAATGGTTAACTATAGTAGGCTAATTTATTTTAAAGTGACATTATTGTTTGCTTTTTTATATTTTACAACAACGTGATTTTAACGAAGTATGATAATATTAAGAGCTTGAATTACACTGTAAAAAATTTGACCTTAAATTCACAGTAAATTACTGGCTAATAATTGCATTACTTTCACAGTAAATTACTGTATGTAAATTCACAGTAAATTATTGTGAGGTAGTTCACAGTAATTTACTGTGGTTTTGTCACATTAAATTATTGTGAAATTACAACCATATATTGTAACTTTACAGTAGATAATAAAGTATGTTACTGTGATTTCACAGTATTATCTTGTAGAATTAACTATATTTTACTGTGAATTTGCAAAACGATTACTGTGATTTAGCAGTAGGTTGCAGTTTAAATACCTGATTTAACTGTAAAGTTACAATTATATCCCGGATTACTGTAATTTAACAGTTTGGTGCTGTAAAATTTCAAAGCAATTTTAGGTCACACAAAAATGAAAATTCTATCTTGATTTACTCACCCTCA